CCTTCGTTGATCTTCATCAACCCCCGTTTCTTAAGATTATTGATTACTTTCTCGTACCCCTCCAACACTCGGCGTAGCTCCGTATCCAGTTGTGGGTCAAGTTCAAGGAGATTACTTCGGTAGACGTCAACCAATGCACTGCGATAACCCCAAAAACAAGATGCAGATAGTGGGGCTGTAGATGCTTGCGTAGAGGCCACGTTACCTCGATCGCATGTGTCAGCAGGACTGCATATGTGCCCAAAAATGACAGAATGGCGTCTGTGGGGAGAGGAATTATCAGTTTTTGGGACTCGGACTCGGTATCTATCGTTTCTGGGTAGTGGGAGGCTAGCCACGCTGTCATTGTGTTGATCTTGGAAGAGTACGTTCGTTTAGTACTTGTCTTAGTTCGTTTGGACTGCAGCGACTGCGCCACCGCGGTGAGGCCTTCGTTGTTGTGCTTGGAGCGTGCCATTTCCAGTTGTTGAGAAAGGTATTCTGAAAGGTCGTATAAAATGCGTGATTATTTTGTTATCACAAGTGCCATAAATCTAGCACACTAAGTACGCACAATACTGAAGCCAAGTGAAGCCCTTTAGATTTGCTTTAGATTTCCGGCATTTAGGATATTCAGGTATCACACTCCCCTACCAGCAGATCACAATAATATCACAAGTGCAGGAGATGTTGAACTTCTATGAGGGCATCAAAAAGGAAAAGCTCAAGAGCTATCCCAAGAATCCATACTTCAAATTACCACTTAGATGTGTTGTAGCGAGCCCCTCGGGTAGTGGTAAGTCAAACACAATTCTATATATGATTAGCCTTCTCAACAAATGTTTTACGAAGATCATCATTGCACGAAGGAGGACGAGACGTTGTACCAACATCTAAAGGATACAATCGATGGCGTTGACATCTTTGAGAACGCTCAGATCCCAAGCATCAAAGACTACGACAACGAGACCTCTAAGCTCATTATATTCGATGATTTAGTGCTTGAGGGTCGCAAGGTTCAAGCTCAGATCGGCGATTTCTACATTCGAGGCCGTAAAGCGGGGTTTAGCATGTGTTATCTATCTCAGGTGTATTACGGGATCACTAAGGCTATTAGATTCGATGCTCAGTACTGTATCCTTGGAAGGAATCTCACTAAAAAAGATCTAAATATGATCGTTCGCGAGTACGAAGGAGACCTCAATAAGGATGAACTCATCCTTATTTATAAGAGAGCAACGGCAGAGCCATTAAACACACTTATGATTGACATGGTTGGTAGAAAGGTCTTTCATAACTTGATTGAGTACCTTGAGATGAGAGAAAAAAAATTATTGGGGCGAAGCCCCCTCTATAATCGTGTTTCTCTTATTTAAGCTCTGATTTAGTTTTTACA